CGTCAAGAAGATATCCTCTTACCTGTACATAAGAGGAGGAAAATCTTTATACAACTTTCTTCAAGCCAATATGGTATTGCCTGAGCTAAGTGGTCTGAAAAGGTATATGAATAATGAGCTGAATATTGTCAAAGGAAACGTTTTAAGATTCGATGAATTGCACCAGTATCTAGCAGCTCACGAATACCCGTTTGAAATACATGTTTTCGAAGATGGCTCACGTATTACTAGTAAAGTCGAATTTTGCCCAGATACTAATACACTCATTGGCTTAGATTCACCATTTGATCCTTTAACTGGATTAACAGTGCCAGTAATATTTATAATTCGATCACAAAATATGAAAAGGTGTCCTATGTTCAAGTGTTGCTTGCACAGCCAAATATTCCTGTTGCAAAGACGTTTCTTCTTGGAGCATATTTCACAGACAACTCATTCACAGCAATCGATGTCATGAACCGTATAAACTATATGAAAGAAGAGTTTATTAATTACGGCATTAATTTTCTTGGATATGGTAGTGATGGGGATGCTCGGATGTTTAATGCGCAAAAGAAACTCATTAATTTTGGTGAAGTGACTATGTATGGATCGATTAAATTATGTGCTAATCTTGTGTCAGAAAATTTCGGCACACAGGACACGTTTCACATCCTCAAGAGATGGAAAAATCTTATGAATCAATTTTCAAGACTCATGCGTATTGGTAATTTTATAATAACTGTCAATCATTTGATTAAAATGTATAAAAAATTTGACAAGGAATTACATGGAATAGTACAAAGTGATTTGGATGTAACTGATTTCATGAACTATGACTGCTTATACAAAATTACAAGTGAACGTGTATTGGATCTCCTTCGGACTATGGAAAATACACAAGGAACGGTTTTATATTTGGAGTTGATTCAGTGTGGTTTAAAATCATTTGTGGAGCATGATACACCGATTTCTGAGCGTTTATTTAATGCCGTATATATAGTTAGTTTCTTAAGTCTATGGAAGACAGATATCATTAACAAAGGAATGCAATGTGAAAGTTTCATTACTCCAAGCTGCTACGAAGGACTCGAGATGAATTTATTATGGCTTTTACGATTGGTTATTGACAAACGAGCTCACAACATATCTGAGAATACTCGCAACAGTGTGAAAGTGAATTTAGACATGTTCGCTCTTTAACTGGTGTTCAAAGTACGCAAATTAACTGCACACCGAAAATGTTCCTATCTCGTTTACACAAAATGGAACTGTTTGAACGAATAATGTTCGGGCTAAAGACGAAAGGGAAGTTATCATCGAGAGTGGAATCTTCGCAGCTATTGAAAAGGCAAGAGAAATTGGAATTTGTCATCAAGAAACTTCTTTAAGAGATTTGTTAAAGTCTTCTAGAAGACGCAATATATGTGAGAATGTTCAGTCTCGAACACACTTTGTTGCCAACCGGACTATTTCTGAATGGGATAATGAAGAACCAGAGTTGATCGATGAAACCCTTTCTTTTCAAAACTTCGAGTTTTTAAGTACAAGATCTGACGATAGATATATTTCAATTAAAGAGGGTAGTTCTACTAAAATCATGAAAAAAGATCAATTAATTTGGATGCTAGAAAATAACAAAATTCATGTTAACACCGATATCCGGCAGCGTTTTGTTCCTCGTAGAACGATACACATAAGTACAGAACAAAATCAAAACGAAGACTTTTGGATAGCCACTAAAGATGCAAAAGGTGACAATATTTTAATGTTTGATGAAGGAAATATACTCTTTGGAAAAGTTTTAAACTTTAAACGTCTTCATATTCGGTCGAAAAGTAAATCAACTTACTATTAAGATTTTGTAGAAATTGAACATTGTGACAACATTGCTGCAATGCTGAATCCTTTATATTTCATTGAGAATGGACGTAGAGTTGTAATGGACATTGTTAAATTTTTTGAGTTAAAACTACAAGTGTCATGTAAATTTTAATGTAGATTTTTCGCAGCAACACATAGCTAGTTTCATTAATTCTTTTAAAGATGAGTAAAATTTAAATAAAATTTAAATAAAATTTTTTTACAACGTTTTTGTTCTTTACATTTGCCTTAAATTCATTGCTTTTATAATACTTGTACATTTACCGTATTTAACCGCCTTTTACCGCTTTTAACCGTGTTTAACCACATTTCACCGTGTTTCACCGCATTTAACCGCTTTTCACCATATTTAACCGCTTTTAACCACAAGTTCTTTCCCCTTGGCTAAATGGTAAAACAACAGACCTAAATCCTGCAACACTCTTTTGTAAGGAAGTGTGTTCGATTCCTATTGGATACCGATTTAAAATCGTCGACAAGACAAAGATTCACAATGAACCACATTTTAGAGTTCAGTTATAGGTTCGATTCCTATCAAATGACATGAATCATTCTTCATAGACAATTTTGATTCCCTTAACTATGCGACAGTTGACAGTCCTCCACCAAAAATAAGAAAGAAATAAAATAATAATGAGATACATACACACACACAAAAAAAGGAAGAATAAATATATAGATAAGAATGCTACTGCTGCTTACGAGCACAGGAATGAAAAAATAAAATGCATAAAAATTCATAAGCAGAGGAAGAAAATTTGCAAGAGACGACGAGAAGCTTTCGAAAGTGTTTTTCTATTATTATTATCATTATTATTGTTGAAGCTACTCTTCTTATTAAATTTCGTTATTATTGTGTATAAAGTGTAGGAGCAATTGATGAAATATGGGGAAAAATCAATTCTTTTTTTTTATTTGAGTTTATTTTAAAGACGAATCGGAAGGAAGGAGGAAAAAAAGAATTTTTTGAGATAAAAAAAAAGAAAATTAGGAAAATAAGAAGAAAAAAATGAAATAAATAAAGAAATATTATTAATATATTGCATGAATGCACTTTTACTGCATATTTATATATAAAACAATGACAAAAGGATGAAAATATTGAAGAATTAATAAAAATCGAAGTGAGATGGCCTACGTTTAAGTTTTTATTATTATTTAAGATTTAAGATGAATATAGGCAAATTATACAACATATAATGGAAATAAGAATAAAAACACAGTCACACACAAGTCATACACATGAGACAATTTCCTTCCTAAGAATAATAAAGAAGTAAAAAAATTATTTTAAGTGAAGAATGAATCAACATAATAATTCCAAAGCATCGAATGATAATGTTTTTACATAAGATAAAGAGGAAAAGATAATGAAAAAAAAACTGTATTGCAGACAATTAACAAGCCATTTTTTGGAGCATGATGATGATGAATCAAGATAAAATTATATAAAAAATGAAAAATTATTGAAAAATGATTCAATTTAAGTCAAAAAGATGAAAAATAAAATGATAAGCAAAAGGAACTAATTTCAATTTCATTTTCTCAAAATTTCATTCTATTTTAGGTTTTTCAGATGTCGCATGATTTCCAGTCTTCTTTTAATAGTTTATTTCTGTCAATATATATTTCATTGTTGTTTTCATACTGCATTTTTAATAATGTTTCTGCGGGCTAACGAATGCATTAGCATTTATTGAGAATATGTCCAGGATTAGTGAGTTGCTCATAAATGATGTGTCTCATTATATATGGTTTTTTAGACGCCCCTCACCTCCTCCATGTGGATATGGCTCGAAGAGCATATCTGTAGTAGACAGGCTTGAACATAGGGCTCGCGTTGAACTAGTTATAAGTGTATGAGGAACAGCCGAAATGAGATAAGCACCTCGGTGGTCTAGTCGCAGGGATCTCTAATCGAATGATCAGAGATCGCCTCTTTTGAGGTCGTGGGTTCGATTCCCATCAAAACCGACTTGATTTACATTAGTATACACATATGGCAGTTATAGCGAGATCTACACTCCGTCAGAAAGAAACGCCAAAGAAGTTTCTGTGAATGACGACCTCCTGAATGACCCAAATAATCAAACGCTAGTTTTGCCAGGATAACCAAACCAAAAAAATTCCAGTCATCCTCTTAAAATCACAAAATGTTCACCAACATATAGAATCTCTTACTTTACTTCTACAAAGCATACCGTTTTGCTTTCATATTCCTGTTGTTTCTTTCTCTTCGAGCATCATAAAAAATTGAAAATTAATCAAAAATTCTTTCACAATCATCCATTCCACATCGCTTGCAGTATGAAAGAGAGAGAGAGAACGAAAAAACATGTACCGAGTGTGTGGGGAGGTAGGGAGCTGAAAATTTATAATATTTTTTTTTAATTTACGGTCTCCATCCCAATGCGGAAGTCATCCAACAATCCATTCACATCGCATACATTGAGTCAAATGAATAAAATCGATCGAACTATGACTCTCTTTCCTCTCACTGTCGTACGTATATTAAATTCTCTTTCATGTTTGCATGTGTGTACTGTTCGTTCCTTTTCTGTTATTATTTTTAGCTCTTTAGTGGAAAAATTAAAAAATTTCGCCATCTCATGCAAATCATTTAAAGCAGCAATGCCTCTGATGGCTTTTAGAAAAGATTTTTTTTGAAGTCCCATTTGAAAGCAAGCTCTAAGCTGAAAATCTTTCGTATAACGCCAATGTATGCATATATCTGCGATGTGAAACTGTATCAATGAAACGAGTAAGAAAGAGAGCGGGAGCATGCAACGTTATATTCTATTATGATATATGTGTGAAGAAAATGCACTTTTCGGTAAATACAATTCACGTGCGCATGTGCTTGAAAATATAAACAAAACAAGTAGGAAAGCGGGTATAGACGGCTGGCTGAGCCGCAAAAGTTTGCGCTTTTGTTTGTCTAGCTTCAGAGTTGTCTTGATTTCAAGTAATTCAAAAGAAAAATTTTTAATTTTTTAAATTTTTAAAAATCAAGCCCAGGCAGTCCATAAACAAGCAGCTCATTTACTAATTAAAATGCATTAAAAATTGGCAACGGACAAAAGATTCATGCAGTTTATATACATTGAAATTTTATATAAATTTTTTTTATTTCTTTCTAGACTTTCGCTTCCCTTACATTAGTTCCGACATACAATAATTGTCCTTTTACTCTTTCTTCCTTAAATTCACTTAAGATAAGTTTAATTGTTAATTAATTTCATTTTTATCGTTCTTACTTTATAATTTATGTGTTAGGAGATTGTTCCTTTCTCTCCTGATGCTAATCGAATTTCAACAGATCTTGTAGATCGCTATCTTGTAAATCATTAGTGTCATCGATGTCACCATACTTCTGAAGCAATTGATCAAGTTCATCATCGTCGTTAGTATTTATTGCTTGCGTTTCCTTTACAACAGTACTATCTGTTAAACTCGTTTCCACTTCATTATTCTTCTCCGTTTCTGGCGCAACAATTGGTGACAGCTCTTTGTTATCAAGTTTGGTTGTTTCCACTGTAGGTGAATAATGATGTTCTTGTGTTGGTTTACTAAATTCTGCTGGGATTTCAACCATTACTGGATTAGACTCCGGAGTACTTTTCTCGTTGCTACTATTAATTTCATTTAATTTATCGTTCTGAGCATTCTCATCAACTGCTTTCTCTTGGGCTTTGGATGGAGTTTCAACACTTTTAGATGAAATTTCATTTGATTCTTCTTTATTTTCACCATTTAAGGGAGTGTCGCTCATACTAGTAACTGCTGAAATAATCAATGGAACACTTACATTCTTTGCTGCTTCTAAAGCTTTTTGTGCATTTTTCTCGCGCATCATTGCGAGTGCTATTGGATTAATAAACTGTTTATGAGGTCTGGGAGGATTAGATATCACTTTCACAGCATTCGACTCTGTATCAAGTTTCTCTTGCTTAATCAAATTAGGTGATTTTTGCGATCGTTCCATTTGTTTCTCCTCTTCTGGATCTGGCTCAGCTTCATCTCTCATTTCGTGTGTTTTGTCACCATATTCAGTATTCAATTTCTCTTTCTTAATTTTATTAACAAGATCTACTGGCAATTTGAATACTTTTTTCCGTGCCGTCATTGAGCCTGGTTTTGCTTTTGAAACGGCTAATGGATTTAATACTTGTACAACAGATTGCTCATTGGTTGCCCTTTCTGCTTTTATATTCAGTCCTGTCACACTCTTTTGCTTACTTGTTGACACAACGGCTTGTTTACCAGCTTGCTCTCTTTTTATATCTCTAATTATTTGAGAATCTATTGAAGTGCTATTAGCAGGGATTGTAAGTTGTTTGATGGCCTCAAAATCATTTGATTTTTCTGCCTTTATGTCAATGATTCTTGGTGCTGGTATCTCTTGAATTTGAACAACGGGTTCTAGATTTGTGATTGCTTGGTCATCATCTTCCTCGTCACTTCCGAAATTGTCATATGTTATGTCTTCTTCATAGTTCGCATATTCATCATCATCTTCATCTTGTTGTACAACTGTCGGGGTTGATAAATTAACTTCCTTCTCAGCTTTAAATACAGTCGTTCGTCTTTGTGGCACAGTTTTTTTACGGACACCTTTAGATTTGATGTTTGATACATTTGAAATATTTATGACAGGACCACGTGTGGGTGATATTTGTTCAGCTTTAATCTTGTCTTCATTCGGATCTCGTGCTGCAAGTGGTGTCACAAACTTTTCTTTACATAAGACGTAATGTTTCAGCAATGATTTTTTCTTTTGAACATATAAACCACATTTTAAACATGTACCCCTCGTTTTTAGGAAGCATCCATGCCATTCGAATAAATTTTGTGTCAAGAATTTCTTTTTGCATTGGAAACATTTGATGTCTTCCACAGTAATCGGAAGTGGCTTCTTACGTGGACAATTGAAGTTTAGCATATGCCTAAATTAATAAAAATTTGATTTAATAAATAACAAATGTTAGTAAGTAACAATCTTTTTAGACCAACCTTTGGAAATCTCTCAGTTTAGTGTTTTTAACCTTACAGAAGTAGCAAACATAAGGAAGTTTTCGTTGTGTATGCATATTTTCATGAGCTTTAAAGTCTGAAAGTTGATCAAAAGTCTCACGACAAGATCCACATGCATACTTTGAGATTAGAGGTAAATGTTCCTTCATTTGATGATCTTGTAAATCATTAATGTATGAAAAATAAGTGTCAACACAAATTGGACATGATATATCCTTCCGTGTCTTCTTGACTGGAGGTTGTGTCACTGTTGAAGAAGATGTAGTTTCTCGCTTGATGCCAGATGTTGACGGAATGTGCATGTTCTGTTCTTCTTGCTTCTGATTCAATCTCTCAAGTGCTCTTTGTATCAGATAGCTATCTTTTGTTGAATGTTTAAGATCAATTAATCTAACGATTGCCGGTTTTGTTATGATTTGCGGTTTGGCGGGTTTCGGTGGTTCCTCTTCTAATGGCAAACCAAGAGCATCTCTCGTTTGCTTTTCAGTGTTAAGTGCCATCAACCGAAATTCATAAAAATCATTGATTTTATCCATGCAGATGAAACAAACATTTTGTGGCATCTTATCAGTTCCATGAACTTTTATTCCTAGAAAAAGGATTTAAAATTGATGAATTCTTATTGATTGAAACATTTAAAAAAATTGTATTTACCTATCATGCTTGAAACTTTTGTTGCAAATTCGACACCATCTTCATTCAAGTGAACTATATTGTACCTCTCCTCATTTTCGAGACCTGTGAGAATGATTTCAATATTAGTATGAAATAATGATATTTATCCAATTATTCTTACCACAAAATCTGCAGATTGTTGAAATGTCAAATTTTCGCCTATTATTTCTAATTTTCTGAAACCTCTCCATCGTAATGGAGAACTTATGAGTTTTAAAATTTATCAACTAATTAAGTTTTACTTTTTGTTGAAATTCTTATAGTTTTCAATGGTTGTATGCTTCCCGCAGAAGTTTAATCTATTATAATAACTTGATTGTACATGAACATAGACAAATGTATCCAATATTTTCACTATTACAGCTTGAATTCAGTGAAAAATAAAATTTTAGATGAAAATAATCATCTACAAAAATTTATGTTTTCATACGTCAGCTATGCAGCAGCTAAGACACAAAGCGCGAAGATTTGAATTTTTTCAAAACAAATCGAAATCAGGTAAATAATGAAAATGTGACTAATGTGAAACTTTAAGCGTTTAAACAAAATTGATTTATTAATTCTTGAATTAAATTTCAGTTATTAAGAGCATGCAAAAATAAACAAAACATTAAGCAATTTTAAGATTTTCTACTAGAAATTATTTTTATGATTAAAACCTTCAGATAGATGTAAAAGTTTTAAAGTATGAAGATCAAAAATTATTTTATTACGAAACTTTTTTATGATTGTTTTGTTATTGCGGTTGGTAAGTTTCTGTAAAACTAATTGAAACTATAGAATTATTGACTGATGAATTCTTATCAGTATGATTTGGAAATTTATTTTTATAAGATTATTATTTTTGTTTTTGGTCAACTAGTTTTTGTCAAAATCCGATGCATCTTATCACCCGGCATAACAAGTTAAATGTGTTTCTCGACCGACATACTCAATACTATAATATTCGAAAATCAACGAATATGTTATCATATGAAGCATAAAACACTAATGAAAGTGTATTGTAGCATCAATCTTATATAAACATCTCTCTTAAAGGTTTTTTTTTCTCATGAATGTATTTATTAATTTCTCTCATTAAACTGCAATCGATATTACTAAGTGAATATTACTCTCTGTTTTTAAAATTAAGTCAAGAAGTACGGCTGGATTAGACATACACTTCGTAAGGTAAACGCCATAGAGGATGTCATTGCTGGGACAGAAACACAAGTTTGTTACACCTCCCTTAGATGAAATCCGCAAGAGAAAAGATAACCAGGAACTCCACAAGCTACTTGGTGGAGAACAGTAGTGTAAGAATGTCAGCTTAATTTGCGGACAGAGAATTTGTACAAACTACTTGACAAGACCAGCAACAAAGTCAGATGGAAAACCTTTTGTTGTAACCTAACCTCCACAAAGGAGCATGGTTACAGTAAGTAAGAAGTGGCTCGGTGGCTAGTACTTCAGTACTATATTGTTGCAATATCGACTCAGCGATCATGTTTTAGACTCGATATGGGAAATGTTAGTCATCTCTTCGAAATAAATGTACAGGAAATGAAGCTCACAGTCTTGTTTTTTTTTCCAACAGACAGAAACGTGAAACAAAAAAGTGATTCAGATCCTACTTAAAACTTTAGATCTAGGTTTAAGTTTAACTATCATAAGCTTTGAAGTGCTTAAAACGCGGAGCTATGGATGTATAGGTCCTAACAGTACTTATTTATTTACTTTTTTTAATATTTCAAGAAATGGTGATAATGCAACCTATTTCTCACTACAATGACAAGCAGTTATTAAAGTAATAGAATCTTACAAAATATATTTATGAGTAATTCGGTAAATCACCTCTCCCAGATTATCACCATGAAATGATCATGCAATAACGCATATTAATGAGAATAATCAGAACTTTTCGTGATTAAATATAGTTTATATGAATGAGGGAAATAATCAAATTATTTTTTGTAATACGCTTCTGATTGGAAATCCCTCATTCCAATTAAATAATAAATCTTCATTGAATTATTGCGTAGCGTTATGTCTTACAGCATTATTATTGTTATAATTTTATCAGCACAAAACAAAAATGTTAATTATTTTTAAAAATTGTATTCTAATTCGCAAATAATAAGAATCTACAAGGTTGTTCAGTTTCTGATCAAGACATCAGCTTGTTGCTTGATTTAAATATGTCAACAAAGAAGTATTCAACACTGATTAGCTTTACATTACCTCGTTAAAATATAAACATTGAAATAATATTTTTAATGTGGATTAAATTTCATTCTGCTGATATCGCAGGCAATTCATACAAAAGCTTTTATATTGTCAAGCATGTGAAAAACGAATGTTATTCTGATTCCGAAATTAGAATTCATAGCTTGAGGGGAAAAATAAAAAACATTTTCAGAAGCAAATTGAAAAGCTTTAATGAAGAAGCAAACCTAATTGATTAGGATCAAAGAAGCTAGACATAATTTATATTTAATGCTTTATTTCCACATCCAAAATGTAATTTATTTAAAGAGTTATTCAACTATGATATCCAAAAAATCTATATCTTTTTTTCAGAATTTGGTTCTTCTTTTTCATATTTTGGGTGAGCTGAAGTGGCTCGGTGGCGGAATGGTTTAGTACTTCGGTACCTAATTATTGCAATACCGACACAGCGATCATGGGTTCGAGACTGGGTATGGGAAATTTTTCACTTGTCCTTTTTCGAATCATATGTACCGGAAATGAGGCTCACAGCCTTCCTTTGTAGGCTACAGACAGAAATGTCATCAAAGGAGTGGTTCGGATCCCACTATAAATTGTAGGTCTAGGTCTGAGTGCAGTGATTTGGCGCATCCTCACTCGTTAAACTCACATTAGCTGCGAATCGCCCTAGCGCACCTCTGGATCACAATTGATCTGAATAGGTAAAGGTTTTTTTTTTTTTTTTTTTTTTTTTTTTTTTTTTTTTTTTTCATATTTTAGTCTTAGAGTATTTTATTTTCTCACATTGAATTCAGAAGGCGTAGCAGGGATTATGAAAAGCAATCTTATAGTGTTAGGCATAAAAAATTCTATAATTTCAATTGAGTAAGGGGATTATTTACAAATTGAAGGACTTCATGATTTTTGTTTCTCAAAGTCACAGTGACTTAGAATGACTTTATTGAATAGGATCAAAAAATATTAATTTTACATTGAAATCCACTGACGTTTATTTTCGGTTTATGCAAAAATTTTAAATTCATTAAATTCTTCATCCCCCAGCACATGATCTACTTAGTCATAACTTATAGTCAATGTATGAATTCATTAGTTACCATTTATATTATATGCTAGTCTACCAATCTTATTAATTAAGATTAACATTCAGTATTAATTTATAATAAATCAAATGAAAACCAGTAAGTTGGGTCAACGATCTATCCTCTATCTATCATTCAAATCAACTGCTAGAGCGGACATAACGAACATAATTTTGTGTGAAAGATAAAAAGTACTTTACTCACGTGCGAGAGTAATAGAGAGTAATAAGTAGTAAGCTTTAGGAGATGTGAGTTCAGCATACAAAAAATATCGTTTGAGATGTCTGACTATATAAAAGCTTGTTGTTCCTATTCGCAAGCTTTAGTTCTTATTCAAACGCTGCATCATAAACATTTCGCGAGATTAGTTCAACCCCCAAATTTTTAAAATTGAAATAATTTTTTTAAGTTCCAAAAAAAATTTTTGTGAATAAAAAAATTTTGCAAGTGAAAAAAATTGGTTGAAAATTTTCATCGCGAAAATTCAATAAGTGAAGTTGAAATAAAAATTTAATAAGGAAGGAAAAATAATTTTCTAAAGACATAATTGACATTACAACAAGCGTTAATTAGAACCTTTACCTGGAAGTAAAAGTGAACGAAAAAGGAAAATAGTGTGAAAATTAATTGTGCTAAATATAAGGTAATGAAAATGTCACTTAAAATGCTAATAGGGAATTATGATGGGTTGTTCACAAATGACGTTAATGCTTAAATATAATTTTAAGACTAAGTGGAGGAGCGTTTTAGATAGTGATTCATGGGATGGTCTTTTTCATAGCTTCTCAAGCGACTCTACTAAGTTTCCCAAGTTATAAAAATGCATCCTATATCTTCATAAATTTAACACGTCATTTGTGAACGATTCCTAAGTAATTTTACTATTTGGGAGCAATTTAATTGGAATTTAAATAAATACAAAGTGCATTTTTGAATTTGAACTTCCGATAAAGTCTGACCGAATAGTTCAGAACAGATAGCTTTATCATGTCTACAAAACAATCAAGTGTAGTGAAAATTTTGAAAATAACAAGAATTTCCAATGATAGAAGCAATTGATATCACTCAATTGACCTTTGACAGACATCTCTTTTAAGAGTTAATTCATGCATAATAAATTAAATTTGTTCATATTAGTTTACAATCTTGCGCGCAATTCTAATATAAATAACAAGGCGTCTGATCGGGAAGTAGGTTCGATTTATTCTTCATTTACTGCTACACGACAAATAAATAATAATAAGAAAATATTCGCAAAGCATATATCTCAAAATGTTAATAACTCCAATTGGTAGTAAAATATAAAAAAAAAAATCTCATAAATTGTCAATTACCACATGAAATCGCCTGTTTGTTGTTGCTGTTCTTTTTTTTTTGCAATACCAACTTTGAAAAGTGTTTGGCCTAGAAATTATGACCATACATAAAGACAAGACAATTTTTTATTTCTTGTATTATTTTTTTGTGCATAGAAAAAAAAACCATTAATCGAAGAAGTAGGAAACCTGCCAATTTGTTATTAATACCTCTACACTTTCTTACAAAAAAAAAAAAACTGCATTTTAATGTTTAACAAGGTCAAGGCCGAATTTGCCGTTTCTTTTATACTTCTCTTTCAGAATGCGTAAAAAAAATAATTCATTGACCGTGGCTGGAGTATTGCTATTGCTGCTTCTATTATTGTTTGAAATCAATTATGTAATTACCGTAGTAATGAAAGTGAAAATGATTCAGAATGATGAAGTTATTTAATCGTATTTTAAGTCTATGGAATTAATTAATTTGAACTTAATAGGAAAGGAATAAATTAATCAAATAGCTTTGATTATAGTAGGGTAAAATAATTATATAGATGCATTGTCGTTGTAATTCTTCCTTCTCCATTTTATGGATTGATTATTTTTAAACTCAAAAGGTGGGTTTGTTTATTAAGTGTCTACTCAATTGTTATTATTATTGGTATCGTAAAAATTAGTGCAAGTCGTAAATGTCTCGAAGATTTACTTTTGGTACATTATATTGAAACTATAAGACAGCTACACAATTGAATGATTTCTGAATGCAGGATAATCTAAACTCTACTGGATGGAATGTTCTGATTTTTCGCACCGCAATTGTTAAATCCGTGTGGACAGAATCTCATCTTCTGGGGATGTTCGAAAAGCTAACCTTAAAATAAGCCCAAAAAATGTTTTTGCTAATTGAGTTATAGGCATAGGAATAACGTTGTTGAAGAACGACTAATAATAAGTGAAAGTTGTCAGAATTAAAAAGTATCATGAGAAGTATCGACAACATTCATCTTCAACACTGAATAAATAAATAAGCACAGTTCTAGAAATTCCGTTATACTCTATTAATGGGCTGCTTTAAAACCCGTACCTGTCATTTACATCAAATTTGTGAATCGAAACTTATTATTCTGATCAGATGCAAACGCATTAGTTAAGATAATTATGCAAAGAGAATCATTTGTTCCATAGTCAAAACATTTAAAATTTATGATCATATTATTAAACAAATAAGCCGATTCTCAGTGCAAGCAATCAAGTACAGGTTAGCTATAAAATAATTTTCGATTTTTTAGTGCTTACAATTAGCATAAAAAAAGTATTTTATTGCATGTCAGATTTTCAAATCATCACGATGACAAATTATTGAATTAATTTGATTAGCCATTATGCCTTTTAATCCGGAAAATCAGATTAGTCGGTGTGATCTAGTACAATAGTTTTTATCAAACTAATCTGGAATCTCCTTGGCATTGAAACAATAGACAAGTGAGGTGTGCGAAGTTTCGAATTTCATCATTCATAATTATGTAAATTAGGATGTTAATAATTGAGTTATCTGCCGCTCATAAATCAAACAAGTCAATTAATTATTTTTTAAAGTTTAAATAACTAGACTTTTCTGTGTGAAAATTGCACGTAGTCAGGAATCGTCATAGCTATGACAAGCGTAAATAAGAAAATATTATTTATATCACTTTAAAATTCTGTTTGATATTAAAACTAATTAAAAAACTTCTACTAAAATGTCTTCTCATATGAATGCATATAAATGACTGGTCAATTTGAATATGACTTGGCACTAATGTAAATGTTAATCCTAAAAACATTAAATTGTCACATAGACTAAGTTTCAACAATTTATTGATCTATAATATTAATTAAGATAGTTATTTCAATATGAAAATTCTAATCCTTCAAATGAAACATGTTTGCAATACTTTAATCCATATTAATTAGTCATCTAATTAAAAAGAATTTATTGCGTATTTTATAATCCGAATTAAGAATTAAAATAATTCAACCACAGCGAAAAATTGCCTAATCTTAATCTTACACAGTTTCTCACTACACTTATGCAAAGTTCAGTGAGCTACGTGAATTTTGTTTTGTCCAATTCAGATCATATCTTTCCTAAACATAGACAATGATTGAAAGCAACAAAACAGCTGCGTAGCTAGGCTTCGAAGGGTTAAAAACAAATTGCAACGATTAAAAGGAGGATTAAATTGTTTAAGCCCAAACTTAAATAAAAAAGAATTGGGGGTTAATTTTTACACAATAGTCTCCTTTGGCTACGCTCCTAGCTATTAACAGATTTTCGTTACTTCTCCAATAATGTAAACATTCGTCATATATTTCATTTTATATACTAATCTACGTATCATATAATAGCTGCTATTGCAGATCAAAATGAAGATTTATATGCATCGACATGACAGTTTCATGTTGGCAGTCGCAATTTTCATCATTTTTATTGCTTTATAATATTGTGCCTAGACTAATTCATTATATCACTATTATCTTTGTAGCATTTAGTTGTTTTCAATAGAAACATTCTTTAAAGTATTTCATAGGAATTCTACTTTCACTAGAGTAATAAAAACTTCAATAGACAAGTCGACTTTGATGTTGATAATAATGAGATATCTGATTAATTGTATGTAAAACATTGATCAATATTTAAAACTTTATATTAAAAATTCAGGAAAAATTAGCATGCCTTAAGGCACTAAGAATTAGCTGCTAGTGTTTATATAACCGCTCAATTAAAAGTCAGCACTCAACACTAAATTTTATTTCCAGTAACATGCCTATATCTGACAGCTATAGTTTATATGGATTAAAATGTTTTAATTTTTCCAGTTCTTAATAAAAATTGAATAAATTTTACAACTTTGTATGAGGAAAATTTCAAGTCAACCAAGAAACTAGTTTAGCCGAATCAAGGAATACTAAACAGTATCGATCCTTGATTAACTGAGAATCAAGCACAAAGAAAGATAAAACATGCTTCGGAGATCCAAAAACTATTTATTTTCATTTAGCTTATCATGATTCCAGTTATATTTGAGGAAATCAAATAATTAAAGTGATTCAAGATCAGGATACAACTTCCGAACCCACAATTATTGATATTCATATTTCTTTTAATTACTTTGTATTGGAATTACTTTGTATATTGAATGCTTAATCATGTGGGAAGAAATATGCAAAAATTACACATAAACATGATTTATTGATTAATAGAATCGATGATAATTAAATTTAATCTAGAACTGAGGACAACCTCTAGCTTAAATAATTAAACACGTATTTTAATTGGCTTAAAGTTATGATTTATCATTCAAATTAAACTAAATTTATAGTTTTGAAAGCACAAAAGCAGTGGTCGAAAAATCGATTGCAAGATTTGATCGGGAACAACAGAGAAACTAGTCTTATAAACGACAATCTACAGATTCTAGAAATTAAAAATTCTAATTGATCGAATCAGTGAAAGCTTTGTTCAACAACTTGTTTACAATCATTAACTAGACAGTAAAGCACCTTAAATGTTACGCGAAAAATGAATGAAATAGCATCATAACTCACGTGCTGCTCAGCATTTTGAACGGTCATTAATCTTTTAGGAACTAAGTTATTTATCGCTTAACATATGAAAATTCTATCAAAGTCTTGTGCTGTATCTGCTCTCGTTTAATTTTTACTCATTAGCACAGATTTTGCACTTTCCTTGATTAAAGTTTAAAATGTTAATTGACTCTATTAGAATTGGACTTCCTCTTTTTTAAAAATGTTAAAATGTTGATTTGATTTTTTATTATAAAATTCATTGAATTTTAATATAGAGTGCTTAATATATAAAATAAAATAAATTGGTGGATTTTATGGAATTTCTGAGGTGATAAATTCACTTTTTTATAGACAAATAATTGAATTGTTATAATTCTTATCCAGTGTTGCAAATGTAGATGTCTACACTAGATGAAGAATGTATATTCTTCAATAGTTTTTGTCTAGCTAAGAAACTTTCTTCATAAAGATCGATTATACATGAAGATAGAAAATCTAATCTACACAAAGATTATTTCTACATAAAGATTCTGTCTACATAAAGATCCGATGTAGATGTCTACAATTCTACATTTTTTCCAGGTCTAGATCAGAGAAGAATGTAGAATTGTAGACATCTACATCGAATCTTTATGTAGACAGAATCTTTATGTAGAAATAATCTTTGTGTAGATTAGATTTTCTATCTTCATGTATAATCGATCTTTATGAAGAAATTTCTCTCTCAGAATTTATCTGATCCAGACAAATAGCCAGAATGCAACACTGTTCTTAT